ATTATTGTGTTCTTCTGCTGATCAACAACATAACCTTCAACACACTGTATCTGCTTTATTGCTCTGGAGAGCTCAAAGTTATTTTGCCTCAAACCAGCCCTGTGGATAAAAATCTAATAAAACATTAATGACTCAAAGCAATTCCACGAATCAACTGAAGAAAGAGACTGAAGAATTGTTTTGTGAGGTCAGTGCACTGGAGTTCTTCCTCGAAACAAAACTTATTTCAAAGGACATTTCAATTATATTTTCAGGCTTTATAGCCGTTGTAAACTTTACGAGCCAGCAGATGGCGCTACTATTGATACTCCGAGGCATTGAATCTTAGAATTGAATTGAAAGCTCATGTGTAACATTAAAAACCACCTTTTAACTCCGTTCTAGAAAGGTTCATACACTAGAGGGCGCTAAAGATCATTCTCACACTGGGTAACAGTGTTGCCAATTTAGCAATTGTTTTGCTAAATGTAGCAACTTTTCAGACTACCCTAGCAACTTTTTCTTCCAAAAGCACCTAGCAACAAATTAAGCTTTTTTTTTACATTTATTTGGCAACTTTTAGCAATTTTTGCCAAGTGACTCAAATGATAAAAAGGAACATTTACCATTTAAATTACAAAAAAAAGAGAAAACAAAAGATGACAAGTAGTACACACATCATGTGAATTAAGTTAGCTGCTATTTGCAATTGTTTAATTTTATAATATTAATATAATTTAGTAATTTAATAATTGTTCATTTATGATACACTTTGTTATAGCTTATACTTGCGATTGTTGATCAGTTGGTACACCGAAAGAAAAATATCTAGAAAAATGGAAAAGGTATTAGTAATTTTCCAGGACATTATCCGTGTTTTTTAATGTGACACATCAGCTGCTTCTCATTTCAGATGTTGTACATTCTTGTTTCATTTCCATACTTCATTTTCTTTCCTTCTACTTTCATTTTCAGTTGCCCCTGATTGTACCGGTAAACGATTCAAAACCTCGGCGTATCAATAACAGCGCCATCTACTGGCTCGTGAAATTTACAACAGCCATAAAACTTGGCAATATACCAAAGGGAACTAAAATGTGACTTGATAATCGTTTTGTTTCGAGGAAGAACTCCAGTGCACTGACCTCACAAAACAACTCTTCAGTCTCAATTGATTCATGATATTGCTTTGCGTCATGAGTGTTTTATTTGATTTTTAACCATAGGGCTGGTTTGAGGCATAATAACTTCCCAGCTAACAGCATTTTGTTACAAGAACGTTCTCCAAATATTCAGTGTTGGTTCTGGAAACTTAAAAAATGTCCAGTTTTCTTGACGTTAGAGGAACGTTTTTAAAAGGTGTGATGTTCCTCAAACGTTCTTTCAACTGTATTTTGATTTAAAATTCAACATAGATTAACTGAAGATAAAAGACTTTAAATCTCTCAAGATCTGATTAAACAACTCCATCTAAGGCTGTGGCTGAAGAAAGTTGTAGGCTGTGTTCTTATTTCTCTTTCTTTCAGTGCTTGTTCTCAGCAGGTGTTTGAATGATTGAAAGAATGTTTCAGGAACATCATACTAACCTTTCAATCACATTCTACTAACATTAAGGAGTTTTCTTGACGTTAGAGGAACGTTTTTAAAAGGTGTGATGTTCCTCAAACGTTCTTTCAACTGTATTTTGATTTAAAATTCAACATAGATGAACTGAAGATAAAAGACTTTAAATCTCTCAAGATCTGATTAAACAACTCCATCTAAGGCTGTGGCTGAAGAAAGTTGTAGTCTGTGTTCTTATTTCTCTTTCTTTCAGTGCTTGTTCTCAGCAGGTGTTTGAATGATTGAAAGAATGTTTCAGGAACATCATACTAACCTTTCAATCACATTCTACTAACATTAAGGAAACTGGGCATTTTTATGTTTTTGGAATGTTACAAATTAACATTCCTAGAATGTTGAATTTTAAATCAAAATTAAGTTGAAAGAACGTTTGAGGAACATCACACCTTTTCAAAACGTTCTTCTAACGTCAAGAAAACTGGACATTTTTTATGTTCCCAGAACCAACACTGAATATTTGGAGAATGTTCTTGTAAAAAAATTCTGTTTGCTGGGTTGTAGCTTTTATATTTATTAATGTTTACTTCTGTTTTCCTCTCTGCCGTTGAGTGTGATATTGATGCAAAAATATTGATGATGTCATGAAAATACACCGTTTTTAGCCTGTTTTAGTCAGTGTCCATTTAACTAGTCACAGATTCCCCCTTTTTGACTTTTCTGGCTGTCAACATGATCATGGGGAAAAAAAAACTGGATTGTGTATACATGAATCTATAATATACATTAAATCATAGTGTGAGTCTACAGAGAGTTAAAACGGGAAAAAGTCTAGATTTTCTGATAATGAAACCACTTCCTATGTAAGTTTAGCACTCTTTCAAGGTACCCTTTCTAAGAGACCACAGCTCATCTGAGCACATATACTGCAAGACATAAGAAACAATAATGGAGTCTGAGAACATTTATATGCGCAGAAATGTTAACAGATCTGGACCTCGAGCACAGAGTCGCCACCAAACTGACGGAAACGCTGGAAAGTGCAGTAAGCAGAAAGTTTCATTTGAAGCAGAGACATTTATTCTAATGTTTGAGAAACTGAAAATTGTTAGATAAAATTTAAATAACGGTTTTCTAGGAACAATATGTCAGTGTTTCTGCTTTTATAATAAATTTATTTTTTGTCTTGGTGGCATATTTTACCGTACAGCATTTCTAAACGTTTGTCTTATGAAAGAGCATACTTTTAAAAGCCCTGTCAGTGCCTTACTAAGGTCAATTTGTTAATAAAAATAATAATAATGCTTCATGCAGAAAATACATATTTCTAATAACATATAGCTAGTATTAGATATGATGGACTATTCAGATTATATTAATAGTAATGGCTTTGTTTTCTTTTTAGATTATTACAAAGCTTTTGATAAACTGGAACACATTTTTATTTCAGGCTCTTGAAAAAATTGGCTTTGGTGACTCGTTCTGTAGAATGGTTAAAATGCTTTACATAAACGGAAACCGCTCAATTAAACTAAGTAATGGTACGTCACCATTTCAGACAAGGATGTCCAGTTTCCCCATATTGTAACTAATATGTGTTTAATTAATATATAATTAATTATAATTATAATGGTTTGGTTTTGGTGCAAAAAAAAAGAAAACTTCCTTTAGCAACTTCCCCTGAAATTGAGATATACTATTGTGAAAATTAGTTGGCAACACTGCAGTTTTTTTTTTTCGTCATCTAACGAAGACCTGCTGGTCGAAACGTTGCATACATTTTTTATGGAGCAGTTATATCAGTGTACGGACATTACTTTTGTATTTTTACTTCAGTTTGTCCGTTTTGTCCTGCACCTGAGCCCTATTTGGGTTTGTGGCATGTGCACACTTTGTTAGCATTTTTTTATCTCAATGTGGCTCCATGTCCAGATTGTTGAATTTTAAGTTTGGTCAAAAACCAAACGTGGGTCACTCTGTATACAACAAATAACTTATTGTATTTAAAGAGGAATGTCTGAAGAATAAATAATGTTAAAAATAGAAATTAAGCTTGTTTCCTTTATTTAAAACAATTTCATAAATGTCTGAGGGTTTAACACTGAAATGGTCATGCACATTAACTTGTTTTTCTGCTTGAGGTTTATTAATATGGAATTATTTTTCAACTTTTTCAGCATATGTTCTTGTTTGAATATTTTAAAAACACTCTTTAAAAGCCCTTCATTATCCAAGTATGACAAAGTGGATTGAAGGTTGATTTTAAATGTTAAATTGGATATGGAGTGATTTTTTTCAATTGATATTTGATGCTCTTTACTGACATAGACCTGTGATGTGACTAAAGTTTGTTAAAACATGATGACCGTTTTGGTTTTCGTTTGTCAGGGAAGTATGCTGATCCTATGATTCAAACAAGAAAATATACATGCAATAGAAACATAATGGTTACATCATATGCCACAGCATCTTATGATTGTGTAACCAGTTTAGGAAATGACTTCCCGTGTAGGTTTAGGGTTTTTAAAACGAAAACTTCCTTTAGCAACTTCCCCTGAAATTGAGATATACTATTGTGAAAATTAGTTGGCAACACTGCAGTTTTTTTTTTTCGTCATCTAACGAAGACCTGCTGGTCGAAACGTTGCATACATTTTTTATGGAGCAGTTATATCAGTGTACGGACATTACTTTTGTATTTTTACTTCAGTTTGTCCGTTTTGTCCTGCACCTGAGCCCTATTTGGGTTTGTGGCATGTGCACACTTTGTTAGCATTTTTTTATCTCAATGTGGCTCCATGTCCAGATTGTTGAATTTTAAGTTTGGTCAAAAACCAAACGTGGGTCACTCTGTATACAACAAATAACTTATTGTATTTAAAGAGGAATGTCTGAAGAATAAATAATGTTAAAAATAGAAATTAAGCTTGTTTCCTTTATTTAAAACAATTTCATAAATGTCTGAGGGTTTAACACTGAAATGGTCATGCACATTAACTTGTTTTTCTGCTTGAGGTTTATTAATATGGAATTATTTTTCAACTTTTTCAGCATATGTTCTTGTTTGAATATTTTAAAAACACTCTTTAAAAGCCCTTCATTATCCAAGTATGACAAAGTGGATTGAAGGTTGATTTTAAATGTTAAATTGGATATGGAGTGATTTTTTTCAATTGATATTTGATGCTCTTTACTGACATAGACCTGTGATGTGACTAAAGTTTGTTAAAACATGATGACCGTTTTGGTTTTCGTTTGTCAGGGAAGTATGCTGATCCTATGATTCAAACAAGAAAATATACATGCAATAGAAACATAATGGTTACATCATATGCCACAGCATCTTATGATTGTGTAACCAGTTTAGGAAATGACTTCCCGTGTAGGTTTAGGGTTTTTAAAACATTAGGCAACATAGCTACTCACAACTCATCTGTGAAGACTGTCAGCCACAGTGACTAATGGAGATAGAGGCTGTTTATGAAAATGTTGAACACAAAGACATTAATCACACATTTGGACCTCAAACACAGAATCACAAGCCAGCAGAAGGAAAAGCTAAAAAATGCAGTAAGTGTATTAACATTTTAATATTGTTTTTTTTTTTTTACTTCTTCCGCAAACGTTTTTGCATATTTTACTTTATAGGAATTCCGGTTGTTTGTCATTATAAATAAGCATACACTTTACTTACATGTTGATTTGAGGTGTTGTCTAGTAATATTCAGTGAACTGTTATTAACTGATATTTGTGTGTTTTGGTCGTGTTCCTCAGGAGGAAGTAGATGTTTGGTGTTGATCACAGTGGGTCTCGGGCTCATTTGTGTTCTTCTGCTGGTCTTCATCATACTGCTGTACTTCACCATCACAGCAGAGAGAGACCTGATAAAGAGTTACAAGAACACAATTGAAGAGTTACAGGCCAATTACACTGATCGAATGCAGAAGAAAGGTAAGTTAGAAAGCAGAGTCTTGTCTTTGAGTGATGAACTTAAGAAGGCAGAAACGAGGTTGGATCAAATCCGTTTTTGTATAATTTGTCCCGCATATTTTTGTATAGCTTTGAAAAGTGTTTATGTTTGAAAATCTGTGTGGTTCAGGTTGGTTTTTCATGTCCAGTGAGTTGAAGAGCTGGTCTGACAGCAGGCAGTACTGCAGGGATCATGGTGCTGATCTGGTCATTATCAACACTGAAGAGAAGCAGGTGAGTTTGTGTGAGTGTCTGTTAATGAATGAGAGAAATCACACTTATTCCTTGTTATTCCTATTCACAGAGACACATATCTTCATTAGTCAGTGAGAGAGTGTGGATTGGTTTGTCACACACAGAGCAGGAGGGCATCATGAAATGGGTGGATAATTCAACACCGAATCAAGGGTAAGTGCTAAAAACACAGATATATATATATATTAGGTGAAGATATACATGTATTAGAAGACTCTGCTCTTCTCCGGACGCAATCATGACAACAACCACAATTAAAGGGACTTCCCATTTAATAAGAAAAATAAAAATTACTAAAAGAAAACTTCTGTCTTTTAGTTTTCTGCACTTCCACTTATGCTCAATCTTCTGTACTACTTTATTTTACTCTCTAAACTTTGCGGTAGTGTTAGTATTGTTGATTCATGAAAAGCTTGTGATGCTCCTCAGTTGTTAGTTGCTGAAAGAGTAAAAACTTTGGGGCTGATATGATTGAACATCTGACACATTTTATTCAGGTTTTGGCTCAAGGGTGAGCCAAATGACCTTCATGGAACTGAGGACTGTGTTGAACTGAATCCTGAAAACCCTATTCTGAAAAACTGGAATGATCTGCCATGCTCAGGCACAAGACATTGGATTTGTGAGAAATAGGGTTCATCTAGTCTTGTCATGCTTTTGCTTGTATGGTCTTATGGAATCATTCTTATTGTGATATGAGAATGTATAATTTCTGATTGAGTTTCCTGTCTGTTTTAACTTATTTCATCATATTAACAGCTTTCATATGAAAGGGCACTATGGCACAACAAACCTCTGAGGTGTTGCTCCATTATAGCAGCATGTTAATATATGTCCTTCCTTATTTCAGCTGTTATCATGAATCTCACTTGTGGTTTTCGAAGTGTTGCGATTGCAGTTACTCATTCTATTATGCTGATATTAAGTGTCTGTGGAACTGCTTTTTATTTGCTTTGCTTTCTTTTATAATAAAATTGTTGATCGACGGTATTAGCACAGCATTTTTGTTTTCATTTCGTATTCTTGTGCATCTGCTTCACTGCATTTGATGCCCGACTGGAGAGATTTCCTCCAGAACTGTGCCAATTAGGTACAAGGTGGATATTATTAAAAGAACATCTGACTATTTAAGTGTATATGCTGTAGAGTAAGTTGCCATTTTGGAAGCAGTAGAGTGGATTGTAGAAAGTGGTGCCAACTTACGATCATTAAATCAGGCACAGCTACAAATCATCAAGGCCTCCTCTATGATATTTTATTTATTTATACAACAGCAGTTAGGTAGGGGAAGAATATTGCATTCATGTGGGTCCCGGCTCATTCAGGTATTCCGGGCAATGAAAGGGCAGACAAGCTTGCAAAAAAGGCAACCAAATAAGAAAATGTTGAAATTAATATCAAGTTATCTAAATCAAAAGGAAAGAGCATAGTGTGGAATGAAACAATGGACAAATGGCAGCAGCAGTGGCATGAAGAAACAAAGGGGAGGCATTTATATTCTATACAAAACAGAGTGGGTGTATCAAGAGATAATGGTATGAGTAGGAAAGAACAAGTTCATTCTAAGCAGAATGAGAATGGGGCATAGCAACCCAAATGGCACTCTTCATATTATGGGAAAACACACAACAGGAATGTGCAGCCAGTGTCAGGAGTATGAGATGGTTGAGCATGTTCTAATATCTTGCGGGAAATTTACTCAAGAAAGACAAGAAATGATGACCCAGCTACAGAGTTTAGGACGAGTAGAGGCAAATGTTAAAAGTATTTTGGAATGTGCAGAGAAACAAAAAGGCAGAAAATATTTATTAGTTTTTTTTTTTTAAAGAAACTGGACTGGACAAGAGAATAGACTGTAAAAGAAATTTAGTACAGTAGGTGGCAGTAATGCAACAAATTGGATGCCAGCTGCCGTAAAACCCCAAAGAAGAGGAAGATTTCCTCCAGTCCAGCAGGTTGCAGCAGAGAGCAGGTTTAGCAGACTGAAGGGATCAGAGAAGAAGACAAGAGGAGAAAATGTGGGAATGTAGTAAGGCTCTCTTTAGTTTTCTTAAAGATACAGGGTTACAGCACAGTATATAGGTGTGTGTGTGTGTTTTTATTTTTATAATTATAACTATGTGAAGTACATGAAGCCCTGAAGTTGCACACCCCGGTACCGTAGGTGGCGGTATGCACCTGAACAAGTTGGTTGAGAGAGAAGACAAACATCAGAGCCAGAGCACTTGCTAAGCCCTACAGTAGTTTTTCCAGAGATTGCCCCTTGGAAGATCACATGGCCTGAGGTAGACTGGTTTGTGCTTGAGGAAAAAAGGAAAGCAAAGAAAGAAATTAATTTGAAGAGTGTATTTAGCAATCGAATAGGAGGAAACTATAGTGAATTTATACAGATTTATACAGATGGTGCTAAAAAAACAGACAGAGAAGAAACAGGGTTTGGGGTGGCAATTCTGGGAAAATAAATAGAAATTAATAAAAGAACATCTAATAAGCTAGGGGTATATACAGTAGAGATGATGGCAATATTAAATTGCTTTGCAATGGGTGGAAAAGGTAGGGCAGCAAAAGGTTTTGATATGTTCTGACTCTTTATCAGTTTTAGCTAGTTTAAGGTCATTTAATTCAAAAACTCAGCAAGATATCATGTATGAAGTACTGCAATTACACAAGAAACACAAGAATAGTTAATAAGGGATGTCAGGTAAGATTTATGTGGGTCCCAGCACATGTTGGGATTAGGGGTAATGAGATGGCGGATAGGCTGTAGAATCTAGAGATGCAGGTTAATGTACTGTAAGTAACGCAGAGGTTAAATGCATAATATGGGAGAAAATCAATAAAAGGTGGCAAGAGAGGTGGGATAGAGAGGAGAAAGGCAGGCACTTTATACCAAATTCAAAGAAATGTTAAAGAGGATAGGGTGGGAATGGGAAATGGGAGAGAAGATGCCGTGATGACAAGGTTAAGGTTGGAACATTGTTCACTGAATAAAACACTAAAGATGACAGGGAAGCACCAGACAGGATTGTGTGAGGGATGTCAAGAAGAGGAGTCAGTGGAGCACATAATCATGACTTGTAAGAGATATGAAACACAGAGGCAGGTAATGAAGAATAAGCTACGGGAGATTGGGGTGCAGGAGATTACATTACAATGGTTACTAAGCACAGTAAATAGTGGAATAATGATTACTTTTTTAAGGGAAGCAGGGGTTTTAAGCAGGATTTGATGTATGATGTGTGTGTGGATATTAATGTGAGGGGACAATGTGAGTGATGTGTAAGTTTTAGGGGGAAAAGGGAATATATAACCTATTAGCTGATCCACGCTCCGGAGCAGAAGGGGGCGGTAATGCACCAATAAGCTGGATGCCAACCGTCGTTAAACTAAGAAGAAGAAGAAGAAGAAGAAGAACAGAGCACTTTATTTGATCTAGATTGAGAATAAAACATGTAGCATTAAATAACAGTTTGCACATTATAGGGAAACATGAAACAGGCATTTGTGATAAATGTGGACTACCAGAAACGGTTGAGCATGTTCTTTTAATATGTATAGCGTATGAAAGGGAAAGACATCAGATGTTCCCAGAACTGGAACGTGGTGCCAACTTACGATCATTAAATCAGGCACAGCTACAAATCATCAAGGCCTCCTCTATGATATTTTATTTATTTATACAACAGCAGTTAGGTAGGGGAAGAATATTGCATTCATGTGGGTCCCGGCTCATTCAGGTATTCCGGGCAATGAAAGGGCAGACAAGCTCGCAAAAAAGGCAACCAAATAAGAAAATGTTGAAATTAATATCAAGTTATCTCAATCAAAAGGAAAGAGCATAGTGTGGAATGAAACAATGGACAAATGGCAGCAGCAGTGGCATGAAGAAACAAAGGGGATGCATTTATATTCTATACAAAACAGAGTGGGTGTATCAAGAGATAATGGTATGAGTAGGAAAGAACAAGTTCATTCTAAGCAGAATGAGAATGGGGCATAGCAACCCAAATGGCACTCTTCATATTATGGGAAAACACACAACAGGAATGTGCAGCCAGTGTCAGGAGTATGAGATGGTTGAGCATGTTCTAATATCTTGCGGGAAATTTACTCAAGAAAGACAAGAAATGATGACCCAGCTACAGAGTTTAGGACGAGTAGAGGCAAATGTTAAAAGTATTTTGGAATGTGCAGAGAAACAAAAAGGCAGAAAATATTTATTAGTTTTTTTTTTTTAAAGAAACTGGACTGGACAAGAGAATAGACTGTAAAAGAAATTTAGTACAGTAGGTGGCAGTAATGCAACAAATTGGATGCCAGCTGCCGTAAAACCCCAAAGAAGAGGAAGATTTCCTCCAGTCCAGCAGGTTGCAGCAGAGAGCAGGTTTAGCAGACTGAAGGGATCAGAGAAGAAGACAAGAGGAGAAAATGTGGGAATGTAGTAAGGCTCTCTTTAGTTTTCTTAAAGATACAGGGTTACAGCACAGTATATAGGTGTGTGTGTGTGTTTTTATTTTTATAATTATAACTATGTGAAGTACATGAAGCCCTGAAGTTGCACACCCCGGTACCGTAGGTGGCGGTATGCACCTGAACAAGTTGGTTGAGAGAGAAGACAAACATCAGAGCCAGAGCACTTGCTAAGCCCTACAGTAGTTTTTCCAGAGATTGCCCCTTGGAAGATCACATGGCCTGAGGTAGACTGGTTTGTGCTTGAGGAAAAAAGGAAAGCAAAGAAAGAAATTAATTTGAAGAGTGTATTTAGCAATCGAATAGGAGGAAACTATAGTGAATTTATACAGATTTATACAGATGGTGCTAAAAAAACAGACAGAGAAGAAACAGGGTTTGGGGTGGCAATTCTGGGAAAATAAATAGAAATTAATAAAAGAACATCTAATAAGCTAGGGGTATATACAGTAGAGATGATGGCAATATTAAATTGCTTTGCAATGGGTGGAAAAGGTAGGGCAGCAAAAGGTTTTGATATGTTCTGACTCTTTATCAGTTTTAGCTAGTTTAAGGTCATTTAATTCAAAAACTCAGCAAGATATCATGTATGAAGTACTGCAATTACACAAGAAACACAAGAATAGTTAATAAGGGATGTCAGGTAAGATTTATGTGGGTCCCAGCACATGTTGGGATTAGGGGTAATGAGATGGCGGATAGGCTGTAGAATCTAGAGATGCAGGTTAATGTACTGTAAGTAACGCAGAGGTTAAATGCATAATATGGGAGAAAATCAATAAAAGGTGGCAAGAGAGGTGGGATAGAGAGGAGAAAGGCAGGCACTTTATACCAAATTCAAAGAAATGTTAAAGAGGATAGGGTGGGAATGGGAAATGGGAGAGAAGATGCCGTGATGACAAGGTTAAGGTTGGAACATTGTTCACTGAATAAAACACTAAAGATGACAGGGAAGCACCAGACAGGATTGTGTGAGGGATGTCAAGAAGAGGAGTCAGTGGAGCACATAATTATGACTTGTATGAGATATGAAGCACGGAGACAGGCAATGAAGAATAAGCTGAGGGAGATTGGGGTGCAGGAGATCACATTAAAAGGGTTACTAAGCACAGTAAATAGGACACAGAGTAGAATATTGATGACATTTTTGTGTGTGTAGGGGGCCTATGTGAGTGGTATTTAAGTGTTAGTAGGGAAAAAGGAATAGATTAAGTTTTATTTTAACCTATTATCTGATCCACAATCCGGAGCATAAGGGGGCGGTAATGCACCAATAAGCTGGATGCCAACCGTCGTTAAACTAAGAAGAAGAAGAAGAAGAAGAAGAACAGAGCACTTTATTTGATCTAGATTGAGAATAAAACATGTAGCATTAAATAACAGTTTGCACATTATAGGGAAACATGAAACAGGCATTTGTGATAAATGTGGACTACCAGAAACGGTTGAGCATGTTCTTTTAATATGTATAGCGTATGAAAGGGAAAGACATCAGATGTTCCCAGAACTGGAACTGATGGGAATTAACAGTATATCTCTAAAGACACTATTAGGTTATGGGGTAATGCAAACCAGGAATATATGGAGAATTGTTTAAGTACTTAAAAAAGACAAGATTAATGGAAAGAGTTTAAAGCTTTGAATTTTGTATTTATGTAAAAAACAATTGGTTTATTTTATTATTATTTTATTTTTTTATCTACAATAGTTCATAGCTGAACCGTGTGCGTTTCACTCTCCAGACCAGTAGGTGGCAGACATGCACCTTTAACGTTGGTTTGCCAATCCGCCAATAACCTCGAGAGAAGAACAGAGCACTTGCTGCTGTCATTCAGTGTCTTTGCTGCATTTAGGGACGTTTTTCCTTCAGGGTCCCGTGGAAAGGACCGAATTTGATGCTTTTATTTGGTCGTTTAAAACCGCGTGCACGCAAAACCTGCACTAAATTATATGTTCTTCAGGATATTCCAGCAGTAAATAAAATGAATGTATGGCGACCGTCTGATTAGTTTAAAAAGTACAAATTAACCCCATCAAGAGAAACCCTACCGCCTCACCTGCTTCAACAGAAGATCCTTTTGAAGATCCGACTCCGGTTTTACACTTCTGCTGGATTTGCTTCAGATTTACAGACCTGGACAGTTTAAGAAGCTCTCTTCCACAACACGAGGCCGATATCTGTTGCTCAGACCTTGTGAGCCATCATGGCTAAAGTGCAGGTGCTAAACGTGGCTGTTCTGGACAACCCCAGTCCTTTTAGAAACCCGTTTCAATTCGAAATCACGTTTGAATGTATGGAGGACCTACCTGAAGGTGAGAGATTTCACAAATTAACAGTTTATGCACGTCTTCTGCAGTTACTTCGTTAATACTGAAGGCTTTAAGTCCGTCTCACGATGTCGTTATGTCCTACTTCATCCGGAATCACGGGAATAGTTATGGTGATTTAAGCGGGAAAGGTCTTCTTGTCAGCTGCTAATGTTTACGCGCTTAATATTTTGGCGCCGGCGGGGAGTTCGATGACAGCGCGAGGCCGCCCCTCCTTCCCTGATTAGTCCGAGAGCGGAAGCGGGGCGTGAACAATGTGTCTGTGCCCTCTCCGATTGGTTAGATTTCTCGTGACGTCACGTGTCGGGAGGCAGCGATTTAAATGCATCTTCCTCTTTTTAGTCAACTTTTCTTTTTTTTCCCCTTCTCTTCTCTTCCATATGTTCAGATGATTATGTGTAATGTATGCAAAGTTGTATTTCATTAATGTCATCCCTGATTAGTCCGAGAGCGGAAGCGGGGCGTGAACAATGTGTCTGTGCCCTCTCCGATTGGTTAGATTTCTCGTGACGTCACGTGTCGGGAGGCAGCGATTTAAATGCATCTTTCTCTTTTTAGTCAACTTTTCTTTTTTTCCCCCCTTCTCTTCTCTTCCATATGTTCAGATGATTATGTGTAATGTATGCAAAGTTGTATTTCATTAATGTCATCTCTGAGTTGTTTGCAATAAAAAAAATGTTTTTATCGTAAAATACATTACTGTTCTAGAGATATTATTTTATTTCATGAACACAAATAATCTAAAACTGTTAAATGTAGGTCTATTTATTATTTTGTTTGCTAAATTTTACTAGAATACTGTTCCTCTGATTAATTGGAAATCTTACTCTTTATTTTATACATGTCGTCTATAATACAACATTGTTTATCAAAAATATTATGAAGAATTTATTTATTCAGTTATTGCATAGTAATCATAGTCTAAGGATTAAGAAAACTTTACCTAGGCATGTTTCCACACTGTTTTCTCTAACTTTATAAAATTACATTTTTATTTAATCGGTATACCCATTAATTTACCGACGATTAGTAATATTACACTTAATGGCACAATAAAAAATCCCAGTAAAATTATTGCAAATTAAGGTTTTTGGTTAACATTGAGATAAGAAATTGTCACATTTTGTTCTACAAACCTTCAAATGTTTATCCTCATAATCAAATATGAAACTTGAAATACAAATATAAGGTCATCTCTGAGTTGTTTGCAATAAAAAAAATGTTTTTATCGTAAAATACATTACTGTTCTAGAGATATTATTTTATTTCATGAACACAAATAATCTAAAACTGTTAAATGTAGGTCTATTTATTATTTGTTTGCTAAATTTTACTAGAATACTGTTCCTCTGATTAATTGGAAATCTTACTTTTTATTTTATACATGTCGTCTGTAATACAACATTGTTTATCAAAAATATTATGAAGAATTTATTTATTCAGTTATTGCATAGTAATCATAGTCTAAGGATTAAGAAAACTTTACCTAGGCATGTTTCCGCACTGTTTTCTCTTAACTTTATAAAATTACATTTTTATTTAATCGGTATACCCATTAATTTACCGACGATTAGTAATATTACACTTAATGGCACAATAAAAAATCCCAGTAAAATTATTGCAAATTAAGGTTTTTGGTTAACATTGAGATAAGAAATTGTCACATTTTGTTCTACAAACCTTCAAATGTTTATCCTCATAATCAAATATGAAACTTGAAATACAAATATAAGGGCAAACGCAAAGGATGTTCAGTTTTTCATGCATGTGAACTCGCATTCTTTTCATTTTGCACTAAATGCTTATTGTATGGCGTTGAATGCTTATTGTATGGTGTACATCTGTCTCTTTACTGTTTAAAGAATTGCTTATCCCTCGGTTTCTGTCTCTCTCTCTCTCAGATCTGGAGTGGAAGATCATCTACGTGGGCTCAGCTGAGAGTGAGGAGTACGACCAGGTCCTGGACTCGGTTCTGGTCGGCCCAGTTCCTGCAGGCAGACATATGTTTGTCTTTCAGGTGGGTTATGATCTGGGAAATACTTGTTCCTGGTTCGGTGCTGTATGAATTTAATATACCCGTATAAATACCGTTTTGGCCCGAATATAAGACGACCCCCATTTTTCCAGATGTACCTTTTGGAAAAAGCCTTTTTAAAAACCAAATCTATTTTTTTCTCAGTAAAACACATTTTGTCTTCAATTATTTTCATATTGCATATTTTTCCTATTTTAATTTTTGTTTTGAAAGTATGGTAAAAACTGGTCAAATGTACCAACAATCACATTTAAAAAATATACACTTTTTGATATACCATTAAAAAAATCAAAAACGGTAGCCCATCTGAATTAGGACATTTAGGCTATCCATCTAATAGTAGCCTACCAAAGTCTTATTAACAGTAGAAGTTAAATCTTACTGTAGTCTTCAAATCTAGGTACTGTCTTACGTTTTAAAATCACAAAGAGAGTTTGGTCCCATCAGGCTAACGTGACAGTCACGACTCATGCAGCTGTAAGCTTTTCTTTCTCTTTAGTTTTTACTCGCGATCTTTACAACACGCATTACATTACATATTTCATGGCACACTCGTTTTAATGCGTATTTGGCGCCACCTATTGTTGTGGATGTATTATTGACATGTCAAAGTCTAGACCCTGAATATAAGACGACCGCGATTTTTCAGATGTATTTCCAAGAAAAAAACATCGTCTTATATTCGGGTCAATACGGTAATACCACCTTAGTAAATACATTGCAGTGCACTGCCACCTAAAGATGAATGGAGAACGTACAAATGTAAATTTCAAGTCAAATACACAAATTGCTTTAAGATGTGTGCTCATCTCTGTTCTTGAAAAAGTGCAAAAACAATGGCACATTGGTCCTCTGGACACAGTTCAAAGTCATGAAATTCAAAGGGTTATTTGTAGATGCAAGAACATTTACAACCTGCAAGCTACAAAGATGACTTGGAAACAGCATTCTATTCACATTTCTCTGTTTGGTCTCTCTTGACTTGATTGACAGGCGGACGCTCCAAACACAGGGCTGATCCCTGAGAGCGATGCAGTGGGCGTGACCGTCGTGCTGATCACATGCACATATCGGGGACAGGAATTCATTCGCATTGGTTACTATGTAAACAATGAGTACACAGACCCTGAGCTGCGGGAAAACCCACCTGTCAAGCCCGACTACACACAGGTGAGACATTCTATGCATGCTGTGCTTTATTCACTAATGGTACAGCACTAGGGCTGGGCGATATAGCTAAAAAAATCATGATACAATGATTCATATCAGTCGTTATTGGTAATGATTGAAAAACAAATATGTTATAACCTTTACTTAACAAAGAGCAGAAGAAAAAAAGGTTTAAATTTAATCACTTTCAATTTTTTTTATTTAACCAGTTTAAGTCAAGCAACAAATAATTTTAGTTTTAACAGTCAAACGCAAAAAAAGATTGAAACAATTATTCCTTTCTTATATTTGATATGCTGATAGTGCGCAATGAGCAAAATAATGCACCGCATTAAATTGTTTATTCAATGCAATGAAATAACGACTTTCTATAAAAAAGTGCATAACGTCTAAACTAACATATAGAAATCAAATATAATTTTGTAAGTTGAATAAACAGTTAACTTCATTATGTATTTATGCTTAGCTTAATACAAAAAGCCTAAGCGCAGATCACACAGATTGCATTTCAATCAGAACACACAAACGCATGTTAAAATGAGTGCTGTGCCTGCGCCTATATTGTGCGCTATACCGAACATTTTTTTGTCGTTATGGATGAAAGTGTACCAGCAATAAATACCGATACCGTTTTATCGCCCAGGCCTATATGGCACAGTTAGATTAATCGATTAAGGAAGACATGGATTCCAGCATATTGATATTAATATGAACATATTTAAATTACTAAATATTTCATATATAACATGTGAATTGGAATAGAGCTATGTAGGGGAAACTGAATTAACACTCAGTAGACACTATGCACGTTATATATTGAGTGTATTTGTGTAACACAGATCTGCTGCATTTGAAATGTGGTAATGCGGGTCAGATCAAAGAGGCAGGTGGCTGCCGTTTATAGTCCAGTATTGTTTGTAATTCATTAATTCTGTTAACGATTGCGGGTCGCTGCCGTTGTGCGTGTTGCTACAGAATCCCATTTTTCCCACGCATTCACTCTGTTGCGAATCTCAAGATTCTTAAACCACTTTTTGAATATTTAAAACTCCGATTCGACACATAAAGCAGTTTGTTTTAAGCATAGAGGTGTCATGAATATTGATTAGTCTATTGACTGATAATTATGATAATATTGTTAACTCTTTACAATAAGATTCCATGTTAACATTAGTCAAATACATTCGTTTATATGAACAATTAAAAATACTTCTAAAGCATTTAGTAGTCTTAGTTGATGTTAATTTGTGAATGCATTATTATAATCAATTTTAATAACTAAAGTTGACAATTAATAAATACTGTAACAACTGTCTTGCTCGTTGTCAGTTAATGCATAAACAAAAATGAACTTTTTGATTTTTCATCGTCGTTTTTTTTTCCTCTTTCTTTTGTGCCGATTCACAGCTGCAAAGGAACATCTTGGCGTCTAACCCCCGCGTGACCCGTTTCCACATTAACTGGGAGGCGACTATGGACAAGATGGAGGATTCGGAGAATGTAGACCCCTCCCCCAACGCCATGCTCCCGCCCACCTCCATGCCTGGCAAAGCCCCGCCCCTTGGACTCATGCCTGACAACTCTATGGACTGCTTATAGAGCCGGAACACAACAACAGCCTCATGCATTAAGTAATAAATGTGTTATGTTGTATTTATACACCTACATGTTCTTACAGTTGAGACACACACACTCATCTCAATCCTGTGGCACTGCTCTGATCACACAGCTGAAGCGCTCAGGCAGTCGTGGGACTTTGTCTTGCGCTCCCTGTCCTGTACAGCAGGGGGGCAGGACCTGCAGCACCAGCAGACACGGACTGTTTTCTTCAGTTTTTCTGTGGTGCACATCACTAGTGAGGTGAATCCCATAAAAAGCATGTCCGGTTTGCATTTTCTTAGAAATGATATTTTGCATAAAGACAAAGAAGCATTTTAGGACCAGTAGTATGTTTGTGTTCTGAGATTGTTGACAATTTTTTCCCCCAAACTGTCATTACTATAATCCCAAAAAAAACAAAACAAGCTCATTCTCATTACTGTAATGCAAAGTTGTTTATAATAATGATATGATAATAAAAATTGGGTGTAAAGTATTCATACATCATGGTTGTGTTGATTGAATTACTCTTGAGAATTACCATTGGCTATAATAGAAATTACTAAAAAAAAAAAGGTTTTCTTTTTTTTTTTTTTTAATGTGACCTTGACATGTTTTTGTGAGGTTCATCCTGTGGTACTTTATGGTCAGACATCGGCAGCTTTTTGGGAATATTTTGCCCGGATATGATCAATATTTGAAACGCGTCACGATTCCAGCTCGGTTTCTGTTTTGTTGGGATGTGAGATTGGTTAGAAAATAATTTTGTTCTGTTCTAAACTGAATGCAAGTTGGTTCTTCTGTTGCCTTTTTTTCTTTCCATGTGATATTTGTTTATGAAAAGTCTTAGATTGAATAAATATGAACTTTTGTCTTTGTAAAACGGTCTTTGGTTGTCTCTCCGTCTTCTGGCTCTCATACGGACACAGGCCTGTGTGTGTCTTTTTATGATGTTGCTAAGCAACAGCTGTTAGAGATGGCACTTTGGGCTGCTCCACCTTTGATCCTCACATCACATCACACAACTGCTCTTCCTTTCATCCCTCCATCTCTCCCTCTGCTCTCCTCCCATAGTTTCATTCCGCCTCCCTCTGATCTGGGCCTGTGGAAATATGCACACCATGGACACACACCGAACCAAACCTGTGGAAGAAGAGTCAGTTGATGGATGCTAAGAAAGAGCGTTTAAATATAATAATGCAAAATTTGAAAGTCTTCGTGCTTTGTGTAGAGTTTTTTGTAGGACTATCATACAGTTTATAGTACAGGGAGTGTTTTATACTTCACAGATGCACTTTTATCGTTTTTATATTTTGAATATGCTTTTTTTATATATTGTTTTCATTTTTATTTTAATTGTACTTGTATTGTAGTAATATATATGAATGTATACTGTAAGTGAGTATTGTTTTTTTAGGTCTTTATTTATTTTTACTTTCAATTTCGGATTCAGTTATTTTAGTACATCAAGTTAAAATGTTTTAAAGTTTTAATTTCCTTGAAATACTTTTATAGTTTTTATAATTTTTTATATATTCAATTTTTTTAATTGTTGTTTGTTTCAGTAACATACATTGACCTGTATAGTAGTTGGTATCATATAGTATTTATTTGAATATTTGTATAGTATTTTATTTTTCAGGTACATCAAATTAAACTCAAATTAAATAAATTATTTTTACTTTGAAAAAAAAAAAAAAAGTAAAATAAAAAATTGTATTAGAAGATGATTCCGTATGATGAAACAAGAAGTGGGGGGTTACTTTTACTTTTTTAATACTTTTTTTTTGTTTGTACTTTTACTCAAGTATGTTTTGGGCCAGATACTTTTAACTGAGAAAAAGTTTCACTGAGTATCTGTACTTTTACTTGAGTATGTTTTTGAGTACTTTTTACACCTCTGATCAAGTTAGACTAAATAAAAATAAGAAATAATCTGAAAATAAGAAATTTATGTTAAGTAACGTTTTGTATGTTACCCTTTTGCATTTACGCTGAATTAAAAAAAAAAGTTTTGTGCTTCATATTTATTTTACTGTTCAAATGTTTCGGCAAAAGCCTATTAAATCCAGTTTAAAATGTGATAAATGGCCTATTGGGGCCAACATGTGTTAAATACCCAGTATTTTTATTCCTGGACAACAACAGTGGAAATATTGTAGTATGAAGTATTGAGTATGTTTACTTTATAACACAATACAAATTTGAATCCACTCCGTTGGGAACATGAAAAGGAGTCATATTCTGTTTCGATATCGAGAAATCACAACTCATCACGGCTTCATAAGTGTCAATCATTCGCACATCTGTCCGCCTGGCCAATGGGGTGGCGCGGTGGGCGGGCTCAGTCCGGGGGGGCGGAGTCAGAGTTGATGGCCACGGGAAGCGCAGCTGCATGAACGATCTCGCCGAAGCTGCATCCGTGTTCTCCCGCCGCGATTCCCCCTGCGAGCGCCGCTCACGGAACACCCCCGCGGGGAGGCGAGAGAGAGCACTGCGGGGCCGCGGAGGAGCGGCGAAGAGCCAGGCCAGGAAAGGACGCCCGAGTCCGGTTTGATGCTGGCGGCCCGTCCGCCCTTTAAACGCGGATGCTGCTGCTGCTGCTGCTGCATTCATAAGGGAAGAGAAGCCATCGGACGCGTCAACGTCCCCCGTTTTCACATTCAGAGCCGATCGGTGGACGCCAGTCGCACGAACGGACCGCGAGAGCCGAAGCGCGACAGGCGCGGCAGCATCTCTCCTTACCTGCGGCTCTCCAGCGCCTGACAGGCCCAGAGTCATGGGCAACACGCCGGCCGCCAAACGGGGCAACGAGATGGAGAGCGGTGGGTGTCGTTAACGCTTCCCAGTCATTCTGTTTAGTCATCATCTTCATCTTCGATCATCCTCAGATGCTCCTCGGGAATGTGGTCGTGCATGTGCCAGGCTTCTGCGGAGATGGTGCTGATGCTGTCATGGCGATCGCAGGCTCAAACAGTGTGTTGATGCATTAATAAGAGCGAGCTGCGCTTTTGCGCGCGTGTGTTTATGCTGCACCCTGTATATAACATGCCAAGGATGGTTAGGAGATAGGGTCTATTTGTGGACGTCTGATGATGGGTCTAGGGAAGGACAGATGTGTGGAAGGGCTGAAGACAACAGCGAGAACCAAAAACCTACATGCTGAGATCTAACGTGAAGGCTAAATACAGCAATTTAACAATCTTGTCATTGAAAACAACCATATTGTCTGACCACTATGTGTCCTTCTCAGTGTCTGTGATGGTTAGGGCCTTGCTGGTGTCTCGAAGGTTGGGTTTGTTTAACCCAGGATTAAGTAATCCAGGTTTCACACTGACTAACATACTAACCCTGGGTTAAAAATTAGGTAGGTTCCACGCTTTACTCGTGCATTATACAGCATTGCATTCATTTGAACGAGTCTGTTTTAATAATGTTCTGGTTAAAATCACTGCAGTAGTCCATCACTGTTTGACACCGATGAAGAGTCTTTTGAAAAACAAACCAAAATGATTGACGCCATAGTTTTTTTGTCTAATAAAATGCTCTCTGGAAGGATCAAATCGCCCAGGTTTCACACTGACTAACATACTAACCCTGGGTTAAAAATTAGGTAGGTTCCACGCTTTACTCGTGCATTATACAGCATTGCATTCATTTGAACGAGTCTGTTTTAAAAATGTTCTGGTTAAAATCACTGCAGTAGTCCATCACTGTTTGACACCGATGAAGAGTCTTTTAAAAAACAAACCAAAATGATTGACGCCATAGTTTTTTTGTCTAATAAAATGCTCTCTGGAAGGATCAAATCGTGGCTCACAGATGTTATTTAAACCATTGGCTACTGGTGTTCACGTTAATAAATAAATATTAGATAAGTCCCTCGATATGTCCCACCCAACCTTCCTGTTTCAGTATGAAGTGTGTCAAAACAGGAACCAAAACCGCTCACGATCTTTAACCGTTTCCCTCAAATGCTGGCGCTTGAAAGTTTCTGTGAGTGCACAAAACGTATGCATATTGAACGTGGCAAGAAATCTTTTGTTTACGATTTGTTTGTCAGTTGCGAGACAACTCAGTGTAGCGTAAACCTTTGGCAGCGCAAAATTGATGTTAACCCCGTTTAAAAATGCAAGTGTGAAACATTTCCTAACCCAGGGATAAAAGTGGCCTTAACATTGGCTTAAAAAGGCTATATTCATCTTTATTTGCATGCAAGTTACATTATCGTTTCAAAATGTAACTGTATTATCGACCAGCTCCTAATATACATTTGGATATAGAAGTGAGTTGAACTTTATCTGTTAGGGATGTAACGATTAACCGCGAGCCGGTTGAAAATCGATTCAAATATGAGACGATTCAAATCGGTTGAGATGCTAAACAAATCGCGATTAATTTAGGGGTAGGAGTTTATATGAATGTATGTCTGAGGGGAACTTACTGTCTTTAGACAAGTTTAGATGGTATGTTTTCTTTTCATCTTGCCTCTGTATAATGCATATTAAAGCTCATAAGTGCAGCACTGCTTTGTTTACAGCGGAAACCAAGGAAATGCTTTAAGCGCCACCTGCTGGCAGAGAATGCATCTGCGTCTCGTTCAGCTCGTCTGCTGTTTCGGTTTCATGCAGATATTTTTATGCATAGTTTCACAAAACTGAAGTCAAACCATTCTGTTTTTGCTTCAAATTTTGAAATTATACAATCTAATTCAGATTAAAAACTGCTCATGTTGCACGTATGCAGCATCTTTGTTTGGATAATGATTATTATTATGTTTAATGATTATTAAACATAATTATATCATTGTTTGGAAATGATTGCCTCTCATTTGAAATGGAAAGAGCACAGACAACGCCTTATTTTGTTTATATGAAGATATTTCTTTTATTTGTGTTATTTATTTGATTTGGGGCTTGTTTTAAAATGTTAATTTCGTTTTGTTATTTACATTATATTTAAATTTAGTCATTTAGCAGATGCTAAACAACAAAAGAGCAATAATATACAAGTGCTGTATTAGTATATTATTATAGTGTTATATTTAAATTTCACAAAGAAACATGCAGCATTTTGGCCAAGCAATAATAAAAGGACACATTTATTTATAATTTGTCTTAAACCTCATTTTGTAAAAAAAAAAAATATATATCGTGAATCGAATCAAATCGTGAGTCGAGTGAATCTGTATTTGCTAAATATATATATATATATATATATATATATATAACTTTACGTGAGTGTGCTACTCATGTAACGTGATATATATAATATTTAGCAAATCTCGCTTGATTGCTTGTAACGCCACAAAGTGTGAAGTATCATCGCCCAGCTGTAATCTGCCAAATGCTACTATAAGGCATGAAGATATTAAGATACTATAAACATGAACATCATGATTTTCTGTAAAGCTGCGTTGAAACAATGTGAATTGTGAAAAGGAATATGAGTAAATTTGACTTGTGACTTTACGCAAAACGTTTAACTCCCATAAGGAAAACACAAGCACAGGGAGTTTAGCGCAGTCCTTTCCGCTGGCCTGCTGTGATGCTGGGGGCTTGTTGTGCAACTCCCTTGAAATGTGTCTTTCTTTTTGCTTGCCTTGTATTTTTTCTGCACTGAAAATGTGGGAAAATTTGCGGAGTGGATTTGAAAATGCTGAAATGAATGGAGCTGAGATACTGCGCTTTTATTGGAAGCTGAAGCCATAATGAAATCAACCAAAACAGTGAACGTTTTGCACTGCTGAGTTTGGCATGTTATCATGTCTAACCCTATAATGCCTGACATATGGAATAATAGTCAGGAATCTGTTGGAACTCTAGATAAAATATGAAAAAATAAGATTTTGTTGAGTGTTATATTTGATCCATCAGGCCATTATGGTTCATAGTATGATACATTGAGAATATGGAGGAAGAAATACCTACCTAAATTTTATTCAGAGTCCAAAAATGTTCAATTTGGTGCAGTTCCTGATATTTATATGGACAAAAAGTAAGATAAAAGGCTGATAGCTTGTTATGTAAATCGATGAGATTTGTATTACAGTATAACTTCGCTAAAATGGTATGAATATCAGCCGTCACTCTATATCTACCAATAATGTGTCATTACGAATAATTAATAATTCAGTCCAGTAAGTGTTCATCTTGAAATATTAATAGCAATATCAAAGTTATTCTAATGTTTACTTCATACAAATTAGAAAATGATTTCACAGCAAACATGCCCATGAATCACAACCTTTAGAAAAGGCTCTTTAGTTGCTAAAAAGAAGGCATGTAGTAGATTGTGTTGTTGTACAATATTGTTTAGTGAAAACACGGAAAGCCAGAAAATTCTCAGTGGTGGGGAAAGAGTTAAAAATGACAAAAACTAAGAAAATGGCACAAACAAACTGCAAAATTACGAAAACTCATTTTTTTCTAAAATTGACATAAAATGCAGAAACTATAAAAATAAAATCGAATTCAAAATATTATCAAAAACTATAATAGTTTCTGAATGATACAACAGCAATGCTGTTTGAAAGCATAGCAATGTGATGAAAAACCACTCGTAACATTTTGAAACTGCACAGCGAGCATGACAAATGTGACCCTTGATCACAAAACCAATCATTTTTTTGAAATTGAGATTTATATATCAGCTGAATAAATAAGCTTTCCATTGATGTATGGTTTGTTAGGAGAAAATGATTTCACAGCAAACATGCCCATGAATCACAACCTTTAGAAAAGGCTCTTTAGTTGCTAAAAAGAAGGCATGTAGTAGATTGTGTTGTTGTACAATATTGTTTCAGCCATGTTTTTATCATGTCGATCATTTAGTGGCCTCAGAAAATCAAATATGCCGTTGCTGCATGTGAAGTGAAGTTAATGTGCTTTATGTCTCTTCCCACAGTCAAAGAGTTTTTGGCCTTCGCCAGAGAAGATTTCCTCAGGAAATGGGAGAATCCTGCACAGGTAAGAGGACTCGAGAAGCGGGATGCACGTTAAATTCGAGTCAAGAAAGAGAAAACAGAAGAGAGGATTTAGGGCTTCATTTGAAACAGAGCTCAGAGCTGGGTTCATCGTGTTCACCAGTACAAGAAATGCTAAATGAGTCGTTTAAAGCAGGTTTGTATGCTCTCAGGTGCGCTTTGAGAATTACAATAGAATTATTATATGGTCAGTGGTGTTTGCTGTGGCCATTTGAACAAACCAAGAAGATCGTAAACTCTTTCGACGTTTGGCTTTTATTAAGCAAATCAAGCACTGAATCACTCACACACTGCTTTAAACCAGATTCCAATGAAATGCACAACAGACATTTATAGTTAACTAAAACTAAAACCATAAAATACATATTTGCTACTTGAAATGAATAAAATATAAAAAGTAAACGTATTTTATTGCAGCTAGTTTTGAGTACAGCATTTATCATTTTCATTTAGTTTAACTTGATGTACCAAAATACTTAAAGCTGCTATAAAAATTAATAACAACTATAGAAATATTTAACTGACTTTTTTTAATTTGCCAGCCTTTTCCAGCATTTTTGATCATTTTCATTAAATTTTCATGGCCCTCAGAATATTTTGTTGCATAAATATCTGAAAATGCAATAAGTCAAAAGAAAAAACAGAGCCTCTGCTCACACACAAACACAAAACTTTCTATTCATGCAGTTTTATTTTTATAATCAACACTTGAATGTAGGGGGAAAAAGTAACTTTTTGGACAAAAAATTGTGTTTTGACAATGAAATTGAGATTCTGTACTCAAACTGACTTTCAGATGATGTGTAACAGTGAAAACACGGAAAGCCAGAAAATTCTCAGTGGTGGGGAACTATAACAGCTAAGGGGGTTTTAGGCACGACGTGAACAACGCCCCATAGCTGTTATAAATTCACTGTAAACCATGGCTTCACGGGGCTTATTGCTTTATTTTTGTGTGCCACAGATTGAATCTTTTTGCATGCGAGTAAATGTCAAAAAAGGCAAAAAAAAAACTGATGTCACTTTTTTGTTTGTTTGTTTATTTTATTTTACGTATGCATGCATTTATTTATTTATTTATTTATTTATTTTTGAGTTTTAGGCCACTTTAAAATGTGATTCTAAATGCACAGTTTGCTCATCTGGACATCTGACCATTCTTACAGTATATGTACTTATATGTACTAGCTGATATGCATTTTTTAAACTGACATGAGAAATCGACATAGAAACGAGACAGTAGTAATAATAATAATAACAGGTCGCCCCAGCAGTGTGCATATTTGTGCTTGTATTTTTTGGCTCATTTTCGTCTAGCTAAATACACAGGACACGAAACAAGCACTGGGTTTAGAGAAGCGAAAGATGACTTCCGTTTCAGCAGCAGTGAAATCCAGAGCTGTTTGTCCTGAAAGCTGTGTGTTAATGCACATAATGTGAGACTGTGGTTTCATCTCGGTTGTGTAAAGCGGCTCGGTGCTTAATATTTATTCGTTGGTGTACTGAAATTAACCACTTAGCAGCATCAACATGTACAGTTGCATTTAAAAATGTATGAATGTTGTTTCATTAGATAACAACAACATATCAAAGCGAGTTTTTAAGCTTCAGTTTTCTTCATCATTTTTGTATCTGCTCTGCTTTCAAACCTCGCAAACATCTTTTTGATGAATAGTGAAAAGCGTGCTTGTGCTGTTTCTGTACACATTTGCATGGATCTGTTTTATTAGTTTAGCCCTGCTCTAATAACTGATGTGCTGTTGTTTTCAACAACTTTCTTGTAACTGTATCTTTTCTCTTTGTTTCTCTTGCTGTCTTTCTCTCATGTAGTGAACCCCATGCGCGGTTTTATGCTTCACAGATAGTTTTGACATTTGAATATCTGCATGCCCTCGACCTGATCTACAGAGACCTTAAACCAGAGAACCTCCTCATCGATCAGCAGGGCTATATACAGGTAAGAAATGCATACAAATACATCATGCTTAGTGCATGAGCCGTTTGAAATAGAAACAACACTCACTGATATGACTACCTGCAGGTAAGACACCTTAGCATGCATTGTTGCTCACTCGATTCAATTTTGACTTTTTTTAGGTTGTGTTCACACTGCAAGTTAAAGTGCATAGTGTGCACAAGTATTTTTTAAGCTGTTCGTGTGGCCTTTTAAATATTGCTGATATCAGACATGTTATGACATGTTACTTAAACGTAGAACGTCCTTACAACCACATCAAACAGGAGATTTTTAGACGCACACTCCACTTCACGAGTCAAATGAGCGTGGAAACGGTGCAGGTGTTGAGGAGCTTCAGTAGAACATCAGTGAACTGCGGTCAGATGAGATGTTGTCAGGCCATAATTCAGTAAAAATGAATTTACCTGTCCTGTGCTCTTCAATTGCATGCACAAATGTGGCGGTGTGCGCTGTAGCCTGTATCATTTCATAGTAAAGCGCGAATAAAACTACGAGCATGCGTGTCAGATCTGCATCACGTTCAGCAGCGGCAGCTCTTAAAGTTATAGCAGCCAAAATAACCTAATAACCAGCTGCTGTGATGTCTTTAATCAAAGAACAAAAGAAAAAGAGGAAATCAATCACTTTTATAGCTTTAAGGATTCATCTATATTTGTGACCCTGGAGCACAAAAGCAGTGTTAAGTCGCTGGGGTATATTTGTAGCAATAGCCAAAAATACATTTTATGGGTCAAAATTATTGATTTTTCTTTTATGTCAAAAATCATTAGGATATTAAGTAAAGATCATGTTCCATGAAGATATTTTGTACATTTCCTACTGTAAATTTATCAAAACTAAATTTTTGATTAGTAATATGCATTGCTAAGGACTTCATTCGGACAACTTTAAAGGCAATTTTCTCAATATTTAGATTTTTTTGCACCCTCAGATTCCAGATTTTCAAATAGTTGTATCTCGGCCAAATATTGTCCTGTCCTAACAAACCATACATCAATGGAAAGCTTATTTATTCAGCTTTCAGATTTCACAAAATTGACCCTTATGACTGGTTTTGTGGTCCAGGGTCACATTTAATTTAGAATTTAGTGTTTGATAACTTTATTGAGTTTCTGTATATTTCCTACTTGCCGAAGAGGACTGGTATATATTATAATGGGTTTATGTGGAGATTGTTTTAAGTTCACTTAAATTAAAAGTTATTTTTTAAAGTTTAATAAATGTTCAAATTGATAGCTCTCAATTATACTGTAATGTTGAATGGCTATAGTCAAATATGAGGTTAAATATGAGGAAAAAAAGAACAATTTCCTAGAGACATCAGTATTGTTATCAGTGATTCTTACCTTCAGTCATAGAAAAGATGCCATTAGTATTAAAAATATATTGTCTTTGTTTTTTCTAAGTAATAGTACTAAGTATAATATCATATAATATATTAGAATATTTAGTTGTATGAAATTAATTTGAAGAACTTTGGAACTCCTGTCTTAACTTAGCATGAATTAGCATACAGTATTAAATTAGCATTAATGGCTAATTGATTAACATTAAAATTAGTAACATTTGAACTTCTGTTGTTACTGTTTAAAGCAAATTTCAACATTTGTGGCCTACTGTACCTTAATATACATTTTAAACAAAATATTTACTTAATATAGTGCAATTAAATGTTCAAATTGATAGCTCTCAATTATACTGTAATGTTGAATGGCTATAGTCAAATATGAGGTTAAATATGAGGAAAAAAAGAACAATTTCCTAGAGACATCAGTATTGTTATCAGTGATTCTTACCTTCAGTCATAGAAAAGATGCCATTAGTATTAAAAATATATTGTCTTTGTTTTTTCTAAGTAACAGTACTAAGTATAATATCATATAATATATTAGAATATTTAGTTGTATGAAATTAATATGAAGAACTTTGGAACTCCTGTCTTAACTTAGCATGAATTAGCATACAGTATTAAATTAGCATTAATGGCTAATTGATTAACATTAAAATTAGTAACATTTGAACTTCTGTTGTTACTGTTTAAAGCAAATTTCAACATTTGTGGCCTACTGTACCTTAATATACATTTTAAACAAAATATTTACTTAATATAGTGCAATTTGAACAATATTTTACGATCATGTTGAGGGTAAATCAAGCACAAATGATGTCACGTTGTGTCAGATGAAACAGAAACATGTCAAATTAAGTGTGATTTTGCTATAACTAAAAAAAAAAACTTAAAAAAAAACACTGATTTGGGTCCCATTCATTTGCAATGTAAAATGTAGCTAAAAGTGTGTCTGTGAAGTAAGCAGCTTCATGGATGCTATATTCTCATTATTACTGCCCCCTCATGGCTAATTTGATAATGACATCATGAGATGTTTCTGGCAAGAAGCATGCATGTTCTGTGCATCACAGCATCATCTGCGGGACCTTTGTTTCAGGTGACAGACTTTGGCTTCGCGAAGCGGGTCAAGGGTCGCACATGGACATTGTGCGGCACCCCGGAGTATCTGGCCCCAGAGATCATCCTCAGCAAGGTGAGCCATGCTGTCAGACTGAGACGCGTCTACAATGAATGCAGCTAATCGACAGCCGTCCCAGATGATGCAACGCGCTTTCAGCTGCACAGATGCTTTTTGTGCTGCACAGCTACTCTGAATATAAAATAGACTACCAGTTGAAAGTCTGAAATAATTATGATTTTTTTTTCATGTTTTTGAAAGAAGTCTGTTCTGCTCATCAATTCTACATTTATTTGATTAGAAATACAAGAAAAACTGTAATATTGTGAAATACTTTTAATTACAATTCTTAATAAATACTTAATTCTCTATTTGAATATATGTTAAAATGTAATTTATTCCTGTGACCAAAGCTGAATTTTCAGCATCATTACTCCAGTCTTCATGACATGACTTTCATATTTTTATGTAACATTATAAATGTCTTTACTGTCACTTTTGATCAATCTAATGCATACTTGTTTATTAAAATGATTAATTTCTGTCTTTTTTATCTTTTACTTGCACCAAACTTTTGATTGGTGGTGTGTCACGATTTCCACAAAAAAATAAAAAGAAAGTCAAATATGAAAAAAATTCTGTGCCGATTGAGTAAAGTATACAAAAAAAAAAAAAAGACCTGAAGCAGCACAACTGTTTTCAACATTGATAATAATCAGAAATGTTTCTTGAGCATCAAATCAGCATATCAGACTGATTTCTGAAGGATCATGTGACACTGAAGACTGAGTAATGATGCTGAAAATTCAGCTTTGCATCACAGCAATAAATTACATTTTAACATATATTCACATAGAAAACAGTTATTTTAAATTGTACAACTATTACTGTTTTACACTGTATTCTTGATCAAATAAATACAACCTCGGTGAAGCTGAAGAAATCATAAGATTTTATGAAGAAATCATAAAAAAAATGTCAAAGTCTTGACCGGTAGAGTATAAAAATTGCTTGTTATTTATTTGATCTGTATCACACTAAACCTTTTCTGATCTTTCGCCTATTAATGCAAATCTTGTTTCTTGACATAAATATACGCAGTTGTAGCTCAATTTGCTCAATTCATGAAACATGCACGTTTGTGAGGGCTTAATGTTCTCTTCAACTCATCCTGATGTGTTTTCTCTCGTAGGGTTATAATAAGGCTGTGGACTGGTGGGCTCTGGGTGTGCTGATGTACGAGATGGCTGCCGGTTATCCTCCGTTTTTTGCCGATCAGCCCATTCAGATCTACGAAAAGATTGTCTCAGGAAAGGTAATTTTGACAAAACTCTAGCCTTTAGACTGAAAATGACTCAAATGTCTCTGTGACATCTGAGATTCTTGTCTTCAGCCCACCGCAGTTTACGTGAGTTTAATTTAGCTTGGCTTAAACCCGGTTTTAAGCACAGTCTTTTCACAGGTACGGTTCCCATCACACTTCAGCTCCGACCTGAAGGACCTGTTGAGAAACCTGCTGCAGGTGGATCTCACCAAACGCTACGGCAACCTTAAAAACGGAGTTAACGATATCAAAGGACACAAGTGGTTCTCAACTACTGACTGGATAGCCATTTACCAGCGGAGGGTGAGAAACGCACACAGTCCCTTCTGATGCATTCAGTGCTTTCGCACCCAAAGCTCAATCAGTAAGGCTTGCTTGTATCTCATATTATACTGGATGTCATTTAGTATTATCACTAGCAGTGCTGGGGGTTACAAGTAGCACACAAGTACAAGTAGCGTGAGATATGTAATCAGATTACTTTTTTCAAGTAACTATTAAAGTACTAAAAGTACTACATTAACAAAAAAGTATCTGAGTTATGTTGTGGAGAAAAGTCTTCAGTCTTGCAAAATAAGGCTAAATTCAACTTTATTGCAAGAAGACAACAAAGCTGAGTCTTTGTCTAGGAGACCATCCTTATTCAATTGCGTTATCTGTTGCTGTCCAATGAAGTTACTTTGTTTTCCCATTTATTGACCGACAGTGTTGAACAGCCTGAGGCTTGTTCATTTCACTTTTGGTGTGAAAGGGCCTTTATAGTTGCTTTATCATTTACAGTTGTGTTATTAAAAATAAACAAGCAAGCCTAGCCCAGGTGGCACTAAGTAACTCCTAAGTAACGTTAAGGAACGTAATGCATTTCTTTCCAAAAAAAAAAGTAACCAAGTAATGCATTTAGTTACTTTTTAATGGAGTAACGCAATATTGTAATGCTAAAATAACTTTCCTCTCAAAAGTATTATTAGTGTCATACTTAAAAATAATAATTTTCTGAGTATCAATAAGATTAAGAGTACGGTTTAAAGCAAATATCAACATTTGTGAACTACTTTACATTAATATACATCAGTATCTATTCTAAACACATATTTTCACTCCTTTTTCTTCAATAATCAATGGAAAATATTTTATCACAAGGGTAAATCAAGCCTAAATTATGACAAATGTTGTATTGGATCAACAGAAACGTATCATATTCATTGTGACCTCATAATACAATTTAATATCATTAACATAATCTAATATCTATAACGATCCATGTTGAAGGTTAATCGATCACAAATTATGACAAAGATGAGCAGAAACATGTCAAATTCAGTGCAATGTTGCTGTAATTTAAATAAAATATTGCTATTGGTGAGTTCTTAAAAATGGAAAAGGTAGCATTTCATACTCAGATGTAAACTGTCATGTGAAAAAAAAACATATTAACTAAATAATAATAATAATAAATATATATCGATGTTATCTCTTCTTCTTTGCATTTTCTCAGGTGGAGGCCCCGTTTGTGCCTAAATGCAGAGGTCCCGGGGACACCAGCAACTTCGATGACTACGAGGAAGAAGAGATCCGTGTGTCGTTCACGGAGAAGTGTGCGAAAGAATTTGCAGAGTTCTAGGGGAATAAGTGATAGAAATCAGAGAGAGAGAGAGAGAGAGAGGAATATAAGTGGAGAGAAAGAGAGAGAAGGAGAAAAAGTGCATGAATCTTAAACCGATCCTTCCTCCTGTTAAACAGCAGAGAAACCAGCGGAAGAGAGCAGAGAAGACCTCCAGGGATAAACAGTGAGGCCTTTATCATCTCCTCTATTTTAATCATGTTTGTAATTTTCTCTTTTTTTTTTAGATCTCTGTTCATGTGATATTAATCATGATGGATTTGATTGGGTGTAATTGTTGGCCTGTGGACTGGGATTGATGTTGCCACAGAAAGACAGACGGGGTTAGTTATCGTCTTTTCAGAGATTATCTCTAATCTGGAGCAGTTACCACTAAAGTGCAAGTTCTCCACTAGGTCACCATAACAACCGTACAGAAAAATAGAAAAAGAATGCAAAAAAACTATTTGTATTCCTGTGTAATAACCGAAATATTTTTGGTCCTGTATACTGTCATGTGTTTCTTTATTCTTAAAAATGCACTGAAGGGATGACAAAGTGAAAATGGCACAGAAAAGAAGCCATGACTTCATGAGCACCACTTTATTTTCCTTTCTTCTTTCAGCTGTAGGTCCACCGCGCTCTGTAAAAATTCACTGATGAACTTTGAACTTTCACCTGTGAAATGTGCCATGAAATCCTACAAGTGTCAATATTTTGACTCGTCAGTTGTTTCATTGATTATAGCTGACAGATCGTAGGCTGCGATGACGGGGCCCACAGCCTTCGTGCGGAGGAGGGGATGAATGTTTTTGTTTCGTTTGTTTAGTATTGTTAATATTATAATTGTTACGGTTCTCATTGGGTTATACATTTCTAAAGCCTGACGAAATTGCACACACTTTGTGCACGATTGACGCTCTCTCCGTTTTCGCCATTTCTTCCCCCTTTATTCTTCCATTTCTGCGTTGTTAAATAGGCAAAGTCTTCTCTCTGAATGGGTGCAGTGCATCTGGATCCTTTTTGGGTGAGAATTTCTTACACGCAACTCTCTAGGCTACAAATATCTCCTAAGCTGGAGATGAACTCAGTGGATACCAGTGCTTACTCCTGAGGACATGGTTCAAGTTAATTGTGATATTTTGCACCACAAGAATCATTCCAATAAAGTATTACTATAAATACCAAACAGGTTCTACGTCCCTTTATATGTGTAATAGTGGAAACACCTAACATTGTACTGAGGTCTTGAGCTTCTGTCCTATTTGGCACGCTGTCTAACTGTATGAGCACTGTGGGATCGCTCACCTTTAATGAAGACTATTTCACACCCACTGCTCCAGAACCTCCAAAACAAGTTGAGTAAGCCATGAGAGTGTTTGTATTATGATCGTGTAAGATAGCTTTGTGTTTCTTAACCATTACACGACAGTGCAGCAAAATCATTAAATAACTGGCTGGTAGCTGATGTTGTTGGTGGAAGGTAAGCTTTCTCCAAATGCATACCTGTATGAATTTTGGAAATAGCTGGAATATAATTCTTCAAATCATATCTCTGTGTTCCTATAGTGGGATTTGTAATTGAGGCACTTTGAAACTTTTTTGTATCTTTTCTTTACCACTTGTAGATAATGTAACTAGTATATTTTTCATAATGTTTTTGTTTCGATGCATCTACAGCTGGCAGTGACGTGAGGAGTTATCAAATACAACTAGACTCATCCAGTTTAGTATCGTCTGTCATCCAACCATTAAACACAGATGCATTTTAAACTGTTATTTAATTTAGCATCGAGACGTCAAAATCTGTTGCGTTAGAAGTAACGGACTGCAGCGCGAGCGTGAACAAAAGCCTGTCGACGAGGTGCGCAAAACGTGCAACTCCGCAATACCACCTTAAATAAGCGCGGAGCGCAGCGGATGGTTCTCTTCGGAAAGTAGTCCACCTTAAGCGCACATAGTGGGTAAACGCAGGCGTAGAGCGAGGCTTCCGCTTCATTCCCAGCCGGGCTCGGAGCGGATCACTTCGGAGACGAGAGGGAGGCGCTCGGCCGAAGCCAACGGAACCAGTGCTGAAACATGTCGGAGCCGAAATACCGAGAATGGATCCTGGAAACCATCGACTCCCTGCGCTCGAGAAAAGCCCGACCGGACCTGGAAAGAATCTGCCGAATGGTCCGAAGAAGACACGGCTCAGACCCGGACAAAACCAGGGCTGAATTAGAAAAACTGATCCAAGAGCAAACTGTGCTGAAAGTTAGCTACAAGGGGTCCATTTCCTACAGGAACGCTGCTAAAGTGCAAAGGAAATGCCGAAAGAGAACGGAGCAAGCCGGTGAGCACGGCAAACACGCCAGTTGCAATAACAACGGCGACAGCGCGCTCAGCCTCACGGACCAAGAAGAGTGCGAGGATAAGGAGCCCGAGGAACGCGGGGCGAGCCCGTGTCCTGACCCCCTGCCTCAAACCTCGCCCTCCACTCTTGAAAATGAAGAGCAGATTTTACCACTACCTAGCGGAAACAGTTTTGTTAGTTGTGGCGCAACGGGCCACTCCGCCGGGAGCGTGAAAGCAAGTGCATCGAGAGACAAGAGCGTAGTCGCTGAGGCGGGGGCAAGCGGCTCCTCTGCCCACTGCGATGCTGCTTCAAGTGCAAACAGACGGGCTGAAGGAGACGTGACGCTCGGCCACGAGGGCAGCGATGATGATGGTGATGAGAAAGAAGAGAAAACTTGCTCAAGCGCCAGCAGTCCGCCTCCGAGAAACAAGCCCCTCGCGTCCGCCAAACCCAAACTCAAGGTGGGGGCGAAGGGCTCCGGGGCGCGTTGCTCGGACTCTCCGGATGAGAGCAGCGCTGATCTGGGCGACAGGCTGGTTGCTGCGGTCCGAAGTCTGTACGAGAGACACCGGGGCTCCGCTGCAACACGGGGCCACGCGCCGCCGGGGCTCAAAGAGATCCTCGGCTACCTCAGCACGCAGCGAGGGATGCCCGGGGAGAAGCTGACCCGCAACCGCGTTAAAGTGGTGCTGGAGCGCGAGATCGAGAGGGGTCGTCTCCGCAGGACGCGCCTCGGCCACATCACTCCTGCCGCGCGGGGGATGGGGGCGGCCAAGCCGTCCGCGCGTCTCCTGAAGAGCGCACTGCAGGACAGACATCTCGCGAAAATGGTAACTTAATATTTCCGACACGTCCTGCGCAGAGCGCAGCGCTACACCCCGTCTCCGTATAAATAAATGATCGTGCTTTGAGAAAAGCGAAAGAAAAAAGCGCATGACAAAAAAAAACCGCCCCGCACCATCCGATTTCCGCTCTTTTTCTCGCGTGCAACTGTGCGCCAGAACACCTAAACTGTGTGTGTCTGCGGCAAACAGCGTGTTTTTGTGCTTGTTCTGAGGTCGTGTTGTGTGCAAACGGCGTTAGAAGCGACACCTCGATGGTGTGTTCCGCTAGACACGCAACTGTCTGCGTGCCCTGTTTCACTTCAGCGTCTCGCCACGAAAGGTGCGGACTCGAGTGCGTGCGAGAGAGACACCGTCGCTTCTCTTGTTACACAAACGCGCGCTCGTCGAGAATCAGACGCGGACCGTGTGCTGAAAAACACTGCTGTCTGCATGAACTGCGCGACATTCTCTATTAGGATTTCACAGGCAGGGCCGACGATTATTGTTGCGTTACAAGTTGTGCTGGATATTTTTCACTAGGCGGTGTCTGTTAAGTTAGACGCGCACGGAAAATGTAAAAGCGAGGGAGGGAGGGGGGACCCCAGGCTCGCGTCTGTTTTCTCGGGCGAGCCGTCGCTCTGTGCAATACTTCGGTCATACGAGGTAAAAGCAGTTGCGATGGCGGAAATTCGCTGCATGACGAGCCAAAGCGGAGCGGAGCGCACCCTGCGCGTGCAGCTCAAGCCTCTTAGTTCCGTTCCGTGCGGCTCATCCAGTCAGTTTGAGCGATGAGCGTTCATCGTGTTTCCTTCTTTTCTTTTTTCCTCTCTGCGTTGATCAGATTTCTCAAGCACTGTCCCTCTCTCTTACGGACTGTGGTCGAATTGATTATGAACCCCACTGAGTAGTACGTGGTCAAATCGCTGTCCTAATCTAATCGAAATCACTGGCAAGAGAATCTGCGGCGGATGTTTGGGCAGTTTGTGTTGTTCTAAGGAAAAACCGCAATTTGTAAAATCCTGCAGACGACGGAGGTCACGCACACGCAAGGCCGCTCTTTGGCCTTTTCAAATAGTGCGGGCGTCGAGTCAGTAGTTTTGTCCTTTTCTTTTCTTCCACGCAGCTAATGTGATGTAAGGTACAGTCACGATTAAATCCATTCCAAACACTGAGATCTGTACAATAAAGCGTTCAGTAATGCTCTATAATGACTACTGTTGGTTAAAAGTCCATTAGAGCTTTTTGAAAGGGTGTCTCTACTCCCGCTTGTCAGGAGGAGGTGAAGGAAGAAGAAAGGATGGAGGTGGAGAGTGACGAGCATGGCACAGAGGAAAACACAGTGGGCTCAGCTGAGGATGTTCCCAACACCATCACTGATGGAGGTCCCGCAGGTGTCAAAACTTGCACTGACCTGACCTCACCTGACACCGAGGTCCAGAATGATAATGGCACTGACTCACCACGGACCTCTGAGGGGAAATCCCAGTCATCTTCATCTCTGGAGACCTCAAACCAGAGCTCCTTACAGCAGGAAGTAGACGTGGGAGGAAGTGAAGGTACTTGATTCACTGACTCCTTTCCTGTCCCTGTGTTGAGAGAAATTAGGAGTAAGTGCAGTGGCAGAGGCATTTTCTTCAGCCTGAGGCTTATTAATTTCACTCTTTTGGTGTGAAAGGGCCTTTACAGTCGCCAAAAATATAACTTTTGGGTGTTCTGTTATTAAAAGTAAATAAGCAAGCCCAGGCCAGGTGAGGAAAAGTAACACAATGCATTACTTTCCATACATAACAATATTGTAATGACGGTTTTTCAGCAATGTAAGAATATGGTGGGAATAAATTGTGAAATCTCACCATCTTCTTATGTTTTATTCAATTAAAACAGATCATCATTTAATGAAACTAATTTCTGACAATAATGATTTGTAATGATACACACAATTCTATGCTTTGATACGCTCGTTGCACTTTTGCTAATATTCACTCGTTCAGTGTTTAAGTGTGGGCTCCCTTTAAATTTGAGCTAGAATTTGAATTAAATAGGCCACACCTCACAGGAAGTTAAATCTGAGGGACAGGAAGTGGAATTTGTTGATGCACAGCCCTGCTCCGATTGAAGTGTTGACCTAATACAGCCCTTATCAAAGATAATATTTTTAGAAGATTTTTTGCTCATGGACTGGCTTTTAATAAATTCAGACAATACTTTATCCAGAGGGGGGAGTCCTTCTGGATTATGGAGTAGAATTCTAAAATTGGCAGACATACCTGTGAGCAAGTCATTAAATATTTTAAAGCTATGGATTTAAAGCTTTTTGAGGGATGTTTGTTCACATTGCACATAAATCAAATGTGTTTTTCATACCCAGGCTACGTGAAGAAAACAGCTGTTCGTTCGGACAGCCAATATCTGGTGCCACAGTAATAACTCTACATGATAGCTAGAGTTTCAGACTGAAATGTATTTCCAAAAATCCAATTTTAATCAAGTTTGTAAAAACCAGTCTGAACAATGCCAAAGCATTTAGAACATGACTTTGCCCAGATGGCATTACAGCTGAAGATGGCGAATTGTTTCTGTGCGAGATGCTTGGGAAGTGCATGTGGAAGGTATTTTTGAAGGCAGTAGGTGGATGTGAGCACAGGGTATCTACAGGTGCACCATCAAGCAGTACTAGAAGTTTTAAGTTCTGTTTTGGCTTTTTCATGGAACATTTTTTAAGTTTTGTGTGGAAGGCAGGGGGGGGGGGGGGAATCCCACAACTTTTGCACCACAATTAAGATAGTGTTCTCAAATGTATGCAACAAAACTGCTATTCCAAGTGCTGGAATTGAGTGCTTGAGTGTGTGTCATGTGGGATTTATGCTGAAGGAATCTGTGTGAATACAGACATGGGCTCCCTGTAGATGTGTGACAAATGTCTATGTTTGAAGTCTTATGTCATGACAAGAAATGATGGCATTAAAATCTCTCTCTCACACACACACTTTCAGAGCAGACAATGTCTGTGGAGCCTGAGGATGCTGTAGCTGAGAAAAATGCAGATGCTCCTGATCAGCTACATCCTGGCATTGAGGTAATGTGCAAAGTTTACCGAAGGTTTTAATATCTGAGGTCTTTCTCCTATTCCAGTTTTATTGTGCAGAGACATGTAGTCCATTCGTAGGTTGACTTCCTGAAGTGTGGATCTATCACAACATTGCTCTCAGTTTGTCTGAGTGGCCTGACATATCAATTGTTGGCTTAACGAATGAGTTCAGCGGCAAACAAGAGGGTAATGGGACTGTTTTAGAATATCTATTTTGGAAAAAGTGTCTGAATATATTTGGTATATTTTTCACATTTACAATTCTGTCTTTTCCCCTAGTCTTACTGAGTGCATCTCTTTTTATTTTTCTCCCTCTTTCTCCTTTAGGATCAGGTGATTGTGATGCCAGAGACCGTAAAGGCTCCATCATCAATACCTATAAGAAACTGTAAGTCCTTTGAACAAAATTTGATTACTTTCTGATTGTGTTCATATCTTTATAAAACAATAGTACTGTTTATACTGTTTTTTTATTGAGACTTGAAAAGACCTTACAGACCCCAAAATGTTGAAAGGTAGTTTTGTGTCATTTTGTGTGTGTGTGTGTGTGTGTGTGTGTGTGTGTGTGTGTGTGTGTGTGTGTGTGTGTGTGTGTGTGTGTGTGTGTACCTGTTTTTCTATTCTGGTGGGGACACACAGACTCATGGGGACTCGTGTCATGGTGGGGACCTAAATTGAGGTCCCCACGGGTAAACAAGCAAATAAATCTCACAGAATGAAGTTTTTGAAAATCTAAAAATGCAGAAAGTTTCCTGTGAGGGGTAGGTTTAGGTGTAGGGCGATAGAAAATATGGTCTGTACAGTAGAAAAACCATTACGCCTATGGAGAGTCCCACAAGGATAGCAAACCAGACGTGTGTGTGTGTATTTTTGTTTTATATAGCTGTGTGTGTTGTCTGCCTATCAGTTTCAGGCTGTAAGTTGGAAGTGGGAGTGTCGTCATGTCTGCTGACCCCCTCTGCCTCACCAGGAGCGGCTGAAGAGCGAGGGATGAATGAAGGAATGTGAGTACCACACAAACAAAACAGCAGAGTGAGATAGAGAGAGGCAGGGTAGCGCAGAGAGAAAAGGCTTTGTTTGGGGGGAAAAAAACAAGAAAAGTCTCTGTAAAATACCTACTGACCTTGTAACAGGAATCGCCAGAAGTGAGTCGTAATGAAAGAAATGAAAACTGAAGATTGAGGGTTGTCTTTGAGTCATGATATTAAATGTTCTTTTGTGTCTTTTTTTTATATGAATAAATACTCATCGATAACTGAGTATAACTTTTGTAAATATCAATCAGTTTTTTTAAGGTGAAGTCCAAGTTGCAAAGCAATGACGATATTCCTTCACCAGCAGTTGAAGAATGTGTCTGAATGTCCTCAAATGCACAGAGAGCCCCGAAGTCATGCAGCTCTTGAACTTTACCGTTTGTAAAATATATACAGTGGGTACAGAAAGTATTCAGACCCCCTTAAATTTTTCACTCTTTGTTATATTGCATATATATTAGCTATTGTACATGACAAAGTAACTCGCATGTACATATACCAAACAATATTTACTCATCCCAGAACATGCATATTCCTGAAGACATTCAGTATGACTGTTCAGGACTTCCTGAACAGAAACTGTTCTTGTTTTTCTCACACACAAATGTATATATATTTTTTTTAATCCGTAATCCCGCAGCTATTGGAAAGAACTTTGGCCTGAAAACACATGAGTAAAACGAACCGAACTAAGTAGAAGAATGGAGTATGTTTGGGAAGACTGAAAAGAGAAAAAATATCTTCTTTTTTTTTAAAGAAGTGTCAACAATTTTTTGAAATGACTGTGCAGTTCTGAGCAGTTAATGCTGCTCTGATGGATACCACTGTTTGGATTGTGACCCCGAATTCATTTCATCAAGTGGATTTTTTGTTTAGTATTTATTCAGTCCAGTAGGGAGCGGAACATCATTTTTTTGTGACCTCACTGGTTTCAAGATTGCTATTGAAACCAAACAAAGGCTGGAGGGTTTCCACTGCGCACAGAACGTTTTGGTAAAAATTTTCCTAACCAATGAAAAAAAAAAAAAAAAAAAGAGGGCAAAAAACTGTCTGGTTACAGTTTGAAAGAAGTACATTCTGATTGGATCTTTGTTCTTGACTTTTTTAACACTTTTGCAATGACACTGAAACCCTTGTCTTCACTCAGTGATAGACTAAATGATTTCTTCCTGACATATTGAAATGATCTTGAATGTCTAACATTCCTTCCAGTTTTCTTGTCTCATGCACCGTTTCGTCAGAGAAAAAAAACAAACTATGCAGATCTTCTGCACACAATCAAGTGGGCGCATCTCACAGAGGATCTCCCTTTAAAGTGACTTTGACTCCTTTAATCTTGGATTTGCCAGCCATGACATTGTGGCCCCACATGTGGAACATCACCATTGATAACTGAGTATAACTTTTGTAAATATCAATCAGTTTTTTTAAGGTGAAGTCCAAGTTGCAAAGCAACGACGATATTCCTTCACCAGCAGTTGAAGAATGTGTCTGAATGTCCTCAAATGCACAGAGAGCCCCGAAGTCATGCAGCTCTTGAACTTTACCGTTTGTAAAATATATATATATACTGTATGTATCAGCCCATCAGATGAATATTGTGGGAACTGAGACAACAATTTGTGTAAAACAATCAAATAATAATGTAAGGGTCCATTTAACTAATTACAAGAAATGACTTGTGAGAAGGGATGTGGAAATTGGACACATTGAATTGCTAACATATTTGTTAACCTGCCCTTTAGCTCCAGTGTATTTTGCATCGTTAAACTGATCGCATATACAGATGGACCCATCACACTTGTAAATGGGACAGTTACCGATTCTGTCACTAAAGGCAGGTTCATTTGCATTGTAAAGAAACCAATAGGTCAGTCTGATTTCAGATTATAGACACCTTTGTTTTGCCTGACAATTGTAGCACGTCGAATTCTTCAAACTGTCCTGATTTATTTATTTATTTGTATGTTTGTTTATAAAATATCTTAAATTTTTATGACGTTAACTAAATCTAAAGTAAAAGCTGGAGCTCATTGAAATGTTGATAATGCCTGCAGTTTCTCTGTTTATGCCTTCCATGATGAACCCCTTTTTACTTTGACTTATTAATGAAGTGGAATATCAACGAAGCCCATCAGATGAATATTGTGGGAACTGAGACAACAATTTGTGTAAAACAATCAAATAATAATGTAAGGGTCCATTTAACTAATTACAAGAAATGACTTGTGAGAGAAGGGATGTGGAAATTGGACACATTGAATTGCTAACATATTTGTTAACCTGCCCTTTAGCTCCAGTGTCTTTTGCATCGTTAAACTGATCGCATATACAGATGGACCCATCACACTTGTAAATGGGACAGTTACCGATTCTGTCACTAAAGGCAGGTTCATTTGCATTGTAAAGAAACCAATAGGTCAGTCTGATTTCAGATTATAGACACCTTTGTTTTGCCTGACAATTGTAGCATGTCGAATTCTTCAAACTGTCCTGATTTATTTATTTATTTGTATGTTTGTTTATAAAATATCTTAAATTTTTATGACGTTAACTAAATCTAAAGTAAAAGCTGGAGCTCATTGAAATGTTGATAATGCCTGCAGTTTCTCTGTTTATGCCTTCCATGATGAACCCCTTTTTACTTTGACTTATTAATGAAGTGGAATATCAACGAACCCCTAAAAATGAGTTTTCTGTGTTCTCAGCAAGTCTTTGCAATAAATACATTAACAGACTGCAAGAAAACAAGTATCACAAAGCAAAAGAAAGAACTAATTAATTAAAAACAAGAAGCTACAACTGTTGTTAGAGATATAATGTTCAAGGGTTTGCCAGCAGAGGGTGACATGGATACTGAAATGTTTGGTTTTGGATCCGATTGTAAATCAGGGTGAAGGTTTACCTACGGCCATAAGTTACAACATTAGACCAGCATCCATCTTGATGAATGTAGATGCTGGGAGTGACTTGAAAAGAGTTTGAGAAGAATAATGCATTGTCCAATCATTGTGTAAGTTATTGAATGTCCATGTTTCTTCATTTGTGCTCTTTCTAGTTCATACTGATTGAAATGAACAGCAATTGTTTCTGTATGTCTTTTTGCTAGGGCTGGGTAAAAAAATATCGATATCTCGATATTAATCGATTCTCATTTTTACGGAACGATATCGATTCTTAAATCCCAAGAATCGATTAGTCTAGCCTGTTTTCAGTTAATGGACTGAACGTTGAAGGGCACTTCCCATCCAATATATCCAAAAAGGACATTCCAGATGACTGCATCAATGAACATTTATGAATCTTTTGACTGTTTGTGAATGTTTGTTAGGAGGAGGACAGGAATGTCTGGAATGAGCTAGGTGGGAAACACAATGCCCAGGCGGGAAAGAGGGCAAACGCATTTGAAAACAATGGAAAACTGAAAAAGATTCATAAATACTCACTGTCTGTGTACATATGCATGTAACTTGGGTTGTCGTGTCAGAATCTTATTTATATGTGAGGGGATGGGTTTCAGACGTCCAGGGTGCCACACAAACACATTTTCTAGGCATGAAGCCTGCGGTCAGGGACAGCGTCACACTTTGTACAGCACTGCAATGAACTGAGGACTACAGACTAGAACTGGACTACAAACTTCTGACCTCTAGGATAAGGATAGGCTGATTTCTGATTTCTGATCATCTCTGTCCCAGAACAGGCTCTTTTCCTCAGTTAAACACCTCTAGCCTGATCTGCAATGCCCGCCGCTGGAGCCTCAGAGTGAGTTTAACTGCTAAGCTTTGGGTTTGGGTGTGTTTAGATTGAATATGTAAGATTCTTCAAAGAAAAAAAAAAGTTATTAAAACCCTTGTGCGCTCCTCATTTGGGAGTCACACTCATGGTCTTCGCTGTCAAAAGTGACCGGACACCTGAAATGTAACTTTTTTTTCCTTCAGTAAAATCAATCTAATATATTTTTGTTCAATAATACTTTTTCTTTTGTATTTTGAGAGAATTTCATGGTACTAATTAATATTTATGCAATAATTATGATACATTTTTCCCACTGAAATAGTACAAAGTATTTTTTTCTAATTTTTACAATTATTTTTCAATTAAGGCAGTATTTCAGATTAAAATAGAGACTAGGCCTTTAAAATCCCATTTTTGAAGGCAGAATAGCACCTCCTAGTCAGAACAAAAAAAGAAATACCTGTAATTTCATGGTGTAACCACTAGATTCCTGTATAGGACTTTATAGAGGCTTGTGAATTCCCTAGTTGTTTTATACATAATTGTTTACTTTTATTAGGTTGTGGATTTAAATGTATATTAAGGCATTCTCAAAGACTACTTTTTGTCAAGGTTTATATTTTTTGTTGATTCGAAGTGTAGGTTTTTGCAGCATTATTACTACATTCAAACCTGAACACAGGAAGCAGATTGTTACACAAAACATTAAAATTCTATAAAAATGTAACAAAAATAAACAGGAATGCTTTATCAGAGCTCAATCCTTCTGAGTCTGATCTGATTTCAACCTCTTATTTCAGTCTTCTGACTCATTTTGGCTATTTGGTTATAGCCATACCAATTTTTGAGTACTCATTTGGGTATGTATAATTCTGTATGTGTGTGTAAGTAAGTGTGTGTGAGTGGATATATCTGTTTTACACTCTTGATGTTTTAGAGTGTAACCCCTTCCTTGCTGTCCACTTTTTTACTGCCTCGTAGTCGAATTATTGATTTTATTTTACATAGTTGCAGTGTTACAGTCACACCATAGGTGTGTGTACAAGTGTGTGTCTGTGCGTGTGTGAGTTGGTTTGTTGATTTTGCATTCTAGATGTTTTAGAGTTTCACCCCTTCATTGCTGTGCAATTTTTTTCTGCATTGTGGGGGATTTGTAGATTGTACACATAAAAATGTTCTGTATTTTAGATTCCCCCCCCCCCCCCACAATGACTACCAAGTGTCATAAAATTCACC